GATCAGGGTGAGACGCCGAATGGACCCACGCTTGCCGTCTCCCACGGAGCTGGCCGAAGATCAAATCCAGCTGGGCCGCCTCCACCATGCCCGCCGGCAACGCGAGGGGGGCAGAGGAAAGAGGGGCCGCGCGCGCCGCCTGATGGCCCGTGAAGCAGGCAGATGGTGGCTGAAACCGCTCCAAGGGCAGGAACTAAAGAAATGGATGTACAAGTGGACGTGAAAGATAAGCTTGTGCTGAAGGCAGAGAATACCTAGTCAGCGGGAAGGCACCCTAAAGCGTGGCTAAGACGGGCACGGAACTTTACAGGCTCCGAGCCCAAACGACAGCGGACAGGCTGGGTGAGAAGCAGGCAGAGCAAGAGGACTTACCGGTCGAGTCTGGTGAACAAGCGAGTCCGTCGTGCTTTCAACCAACAATGCACAAAAGGGCTCTTCGAACCGTCCCTTCTCAAAAATGCTTGGCCGCACGGGGATAGGTTCACCAGAGTTCGGCAGGTCCCTGGGTTGGCGGACTTCGCTTCAACCCAAGGGTACATTGACCCCCCACGGCGCCAACCACAAAAACGTTTAAGGCGCCAGTGGCACGGAATGAATCATTCCCGCCAGAGTCCAGGAAATTAGGCGAAACTGACTAACCTATCCCCCGCGTGAGAAGTGCGAGACAATTTAAAAACCACTGCCTCAGGTCCGCGAGCTGCCCAGACAGAGTCGGGGCTAGCCCGCTCACCAGAGCGATCAGCTCGTCGACCTCGCCCGCTGAATGCGCACATCCGCTTCCCGACGCCGTGTGACCTCGTGACGCAGTCAATAGAGTCATCTCGTCATGTCTGCGTGAGTCGGCTATGTTGTGAGCTCGGGACCACCTTCTTCGGCTTCCCGTCGCCGACCTTGACCGCGTCGTGGTCATAGCTGACATGGCCGTCCATCACGCTGAGGATTAGCTCTCGGCTCCTGCTGCCCTTGGTCATGGGGTCGGCCCACGTGTCCCGAGCGTCGAACCACTGCAAATCGTCGATCTGGTTGGTGCGAAGCTGGTCGACTAATCGCCACAGGTGGTCGGCCGTACTGTTCTCGGACGGCGGCCGGAGTGGGTCACGAGCAGGGCGTTGAAGACGGACATGCCGTCGATGGCAAGGTCTGCAGGGATTGCGTAACCTCCTTCCTCCCTCAGCCCCCTAGCAGTTCTCAGCCGAATGAAGATCTGCATGGGAGCTCGTGCGAACGGGTCACTGCGTCTAGCAGGTGGCGCATCTCTATGCTGGTGCGATGGCACTTGCCGAGGCGCATGTCGACGTCGCATGGTCGTCGTTTTCCACGTCGTCGTCGTCGCCATCGTCGTCGCCGTCGCCGTCGCCGTCGTCGCCGCCGATGTCGCTTGGAAGCCCGCTTGCTGACCACGCTGACAAGTGTCATCGGCTGTGGTTTCCCTGTTCCTTCTGCCCAGGGGGGCAGAAATACTGTAGTGCAGCCATCCCTTCCCCCAGGCACCCGCAGGACCCGCCGGAGCGCCCCTCCGGATCCCCCTTTCCCCCGAGAAAATATCTGAACCACTGCCTGAGAGCCCTCGAACCTCGACCGACGGCGGCGCGAGCTGCATGGCAGTTGCAGCCCGCCGCAAGGCAGAAAGGAGCAGGCCACCTCTGAGGGGCAACGGAAGGGGGGGAACCGGCTCAGCGGGGGGGGGACACAGCCAGCTGAAGTCGGTGACACATGCTCAATCAATCGATGACAGGCCTCCGATAGCGAATCCGAGCACTCCTGGGCAGGTCGGGGCTATCCGGCCCTTGTCGGCGATCAAGGGGCGATTGGAGGTCGATGCGCCCCCCCTTGAGCCCATCCCGCGTTGACGTCGCCCCCTGGCTTTCGGGTCGTAACTGGGTTCTGAGGCGGCCGTTCAAGATGATCCCGGCACCCCTGCAACGCTCTTGAACGCAGCTGCTGAAAAGGACCCCGAGGCGGGACAACCGGCGAGAGCCCACGAAAACGCCCAAAGGACTCTGGCCTCGAACCTGAGGCCCCCTTAACCCGAACGCTGCCCCGTTGCCCCTGAAGCTGCACCCCCCTAACGTTGCCCCTCCTCCTCCTCCTCCTCCTCCTCCTCCTCCCTCCTCCTCCTCCTCCTCCTCCTCCTCCTCCTCCTCCTCCTCCTCCTCCTCCTCCTCCTCCTCCCCCTCCTCCTCCTCCTCCCCCTCCTCCTCCTCCTCCTCCTCCTCCTCCTCCTGAAGCTGCCCCTGAAGCTGCCCCTGAAGCTGCACCCCCGAACCTTGCACCGTTGCCTCTGCGAGCGGGCCACCTCGGGCAGGGGCCTTGCGCGGGCCCCCGGTGTGGTTCGGTGGCGGCCTCGGCACCCGGCGCCGTGCTCGGGCGCAGGCCGGCCCCAGCGCCTGCGCGGCCTGTGGAGGTGCCGAGGCCGCCCAGCGGGGATCACCAGCGGGGGGAGGTCACCCAGCCAAGAGCCGCGAGGACGACGAGCCCGATGGCGCGGAGACGCCCTCAGCGGAGCTCATGACTGCACGAGCGGAGCGGTTGCACTCGGCGTTCTGCGGCCCAAAGGTAAAGAAGCCGCTTGTCCTGCCGAACAAGAACGTGTCCCCCGTCACGGACGAGATCAAGAACCGCGTCAAGGACCAGCGAGGCCGCCCAGCGGGGATCACAACCTTCACGGGGCGGAGAAGGGCACATGCCTAACTGCCTAGCTACCAGACCACCCCAACCCAACCCGAAGACCCGAATTTCGGGTTGGGGGGGGGTAGGGGTTCCATACGTGTTTTTTCGATGTTTCCCGGACCCCCCCCACTGGAAATCGAGGGTAAATCTGAGCCTTCGGGTTGGGTTGGGGTGGTTTGGTGGGTGGTGACTAACTACCGAGACCAGCTTCAACACTAGGATGGGGGAGGAGGCTGCACGGCAACAGCATCAGGGAGCGGGACCTGCCGTGCGGAGGGAGAGGAGGAAGACGAGGACAAGATGGAGCGATCTCCTCTGTGCATCGCCTGCGTCGGCGTGACCGCTGGAATCGTCTTGTGCAGCCGACACGTGCCAGTCGTGCGCTGCGCTGCAGCTGATGGGAACATGCCAACGGGCTCGCTTCTTGGAACCGTGGTGGCGTTCGCTCCATCTTCAAACACAAATCGTCTCGCTGCGAGCGGTCCCCTCCTGTTTTGCACCAGAGGGGGGGGCGGGCAAACTCGGCCGCCCCCGGCAACGGTGCGTGGGAGCTCCGCTCGAACCCTCGACTACGATAGCACTACTTGCAAGGTGGCGCGGGGACGTCTCGGCGGCGCTTTTCGAAGACCAGCGAAAACCGCGTACCCATCGGTCGGAAGAACTAGGTAGAAACATGAAGTAGGAAGGCGTTGAGAATAGACTGGGTCCCGTCCGCCCCCTAAGGAGGACGGAAAACGTGAAGCCACTCGATCATTGAAGTAGGAAGGCGCTTAAAACAGATTGGAAACTGGGAATTAGAAAATACCGACTTCCAACGACCAATGGGTAAGTACAACCTTTCGGAGGTCCGCGCGGATTCCTTGGGTCGGTGCTGGACTTCCCTCCCCACATCCCTGGGCGGCGCATCTGGCGCCGCCGCCAGCGCGCCTCGCTCGCCAATGAAGAAAGAGGTGTGTGGAGGACGGTCCAGCGCCGACCCAAGCAATCCGCGAGACCCTCCGAAACTCTATGTTCCCCATGGCAATCAGAGCTTGCCTCTGTAGGGGTCCTAGCGGATTCATATGGTTAGGTTAGGTTTGCCGCCGATTTTCGCCGCACGCCCGGGTGCCCGGGTGCCCGGGGGTGCCCGGGTGCCCGGGGGGTGCCCGGGGGTGCCAGGGTGCCCGGGCGTGCTCAGGGGGTGCCCGGGGGTGCCCCATAGCCCTATAGCCCAATAGCCCTAAAGCCCTACAACTCTATAGCCCTATAGCTCTATAGCCCGATAGTTCAATAGCCCTATAGCCCCCTAGCCCTATAGCCCTGATTGGGTTTTTCTCCGGTATCATTTACCTATCGGTCGGAAGAAGTAGGTAGAAACATGAATCAGGAAGGCGTTGAAAGTAGATCGGGCGTCCACCCGCCCCCTAAGGACGACGGAAAAGGTCAAGCCACTCGATCATTGAAGTAGGAAGGCGCTTAAAATAGATTGGAATCTGGGAGCCCCAAAATACCTACTTTCAACGACCGATGGGTGCGTATTTTGTTGGGTCTTTCCAACTGGGGCTCGCAAGCCGCGTGAAAGCGTCCTCTCGGCCAGAGACAGCGAGGAAGAGGAGGTGGGCTTCCGCATGATGCAAAACTTGCCTGCTTCCCGACTGGAGGGAAGGGGGCTCCTCTCTGCTGCAGCCGGCCAGGGAGGAAGAGGCGGAGGAGGCGGAGGCGGAGGAGGACGCGCCACATGGCGGGAAGCTACTATGGACACTCCTACACTCTTGAAAAAACAACCTGCAAACGGAAGCCCCGTGGAACTGTCTCGTGCCCCAGTGGCCCCTTGGACTCGCCTTGAATTCTGGGGCACCCACGGAATTAAGTTTGACGTGAAATGTGCCCCCAGATCTCTTGAAGCGAGGCGGGTGTTCGCATGTATCTGCTGTATCCTGCACCAACAATGCGAACGCATATGTCGTCCTGGCGTTGGCCGAGTCCTAATCACAACAGCACTGAGGCTCGCAGAGCGCTCTCCCGCAGAGCCTCAAGTAGCTTCTGACAATCCCCTTATTCTCCCTCCTGCCTGCCTCAGGTCCCCCTGCTGCTGAAGCCATCTTGCTGTCAGTACGATGTACGCTTCAATGCTGCACCCCTCCAGGGCAAATTAAGCTCAATCTGCGCGCGTATGGCTCAAGACACGCAAACAAATGTACGATCTTATAGCGCGTCGTTATCTTCGTCGTCCTCCTCCTGCTCATCCTGCTCCTCCTGCTCCTCGTCCTCCTCCTCCTCTCTCACCCCTCGCTGCCTCCCTCCCCCCACCTCATCCTCCTTGCCCACGTCGCTTGCAAGCGTCAGCCGACTTAAACAATGCATGGCACCGGGGCGACAGGCGTCGAACATCTCGACGCAAGAACGTGTGCACCAGATCGGAACGCGTGCACCAGGGCGTCTGACATGTTCACCCAGAGCTGGGCCCGGTGCTTATCCATGCACTCATCCGCCACCCCCTTGCCGTCAATGTTCTGATCGATCACTGGCTGCTTGAAGACGCCGCCGTTGCCCGAGCTGCTGAAGGCCTCCAAGAAGCCCAAGGCCCGATCACAGTGCTGCCTGGTCAGCCCACAGCCGATCTTCATAGAGAGGCCGCCGTCAGTGGTCCACTCGTCGTACGTGTGGATGAGCCGTACCGAGGCGTCAATGCGAGCGGGCACGCGGGACCGCAGGTACTGCTCGACGGCGTCGGCAGAGCCCATCTCTTGCCTGCGGCAGTGCCACGTCCCGAAGGGGGTGGTGTGGAAGTCTTCGAGCACCAGCATGCGCAACCGCTTGACCCATGGGGCCTTCTCGCAGTGCTCCGCGGCGAAGTCGGCGATGCACTCCAGGCGGAGCTCAGGGGTGTTGTCGTCCCAAATCGCAGTGCGCGCATCGAAGGCAAAGTGCCTGCCCAGATGCCGCGAGAGGATCGCCTCCGCCTGATGCGCGCGCTTCGAGTGCCTGGGCAGGCGCCAAGTGGACGACAGCACGACCTTGCACTGACGTCCAGCAGCCTCGATGAGCCGCGCCAGTCGCCCTACTAGCAGGTCGCTGAGGGCTGTGTTAGGGGCACACAGCAGCTTCGAGTACGTCGCGTCCTCAAACGGCCCCTCCTGGCGGCTGCATGTCGCGACGATGCGCTCGACCGCGGTACGCTGGTCCTGCTGTAGGCTGCCCCTCTCGGACCACATTGCCAGCGCGCGCTCGGCATTGTCTTCGCTGAGTAGCAGAGGAGCGCCTTTCGGGTCTCTGATCGCGATGTTAAGTACCCCGTCGATATCCACGAAGATGAGGGTATCGGACTCGATGTTCGCTTGGTCCTCCATCGTGGAGGTCGCCACAATCTGGTCCACCTCCCTGGTGCATGCGTCCTCGAGGCCGAACGGCGGCAACATCTGCATTTGCTGAACGCAACCGCGGAGCGGCCAAGCTGGGGTCAACTCGACCCAGGGAGGCAAACGCCTCAAAGCAAGACTTCAGCCACAACGGCTGAGCCAACCAGGTCACGAAGCAGGAAGAGGATGGCCAACATTAAGCAAAGATGCATCAACGATGCTGCAAGGCACTCCTCCGCCCCAAGCCCCCTCAAGACAGGCCCCCTTTCTCGCTCCCCTGGCCGCTGCTGGAGGCGTCCCCCCGTGAAACACCAGCGCCCCACGGGTCTGCCATGTCGCCGAGAGAGGTCCGTCCCGAAACGGATCCGCCTCCGATGCTTTGAGAAGTGAGACAGATCATACAGTTCAAAGGTTGGTCAAACGAACGCACACGTGAAACACGAGCCGCCGTGTGCCAGTGTGCCTGCTGCACAAGGCTGGTCTCACAGTGCAAGATGTGGGAATTAAGTCTTGAGTGGGAATTGCATTAGACCATGCGCCGTCCTCCACGGTTGAGGACGGTTGGCAATGCGCCGTCCTCAGCGACCATGGGAAGGCAGGAGAAAAGCAAGACATAAGGACACGATGCAGACATACCATCCTTGATTCGCGGTTATCCAGCGATCGTCGGCAACCGACCGCAAACGTGGCATGTGCGGTCTTTAAGCCCAAACCATATTGAAGACCGAGCCAAGCGGCGAACTTCGACGCTACTACACGATGCGTTCCCTGTGCCACGCATGCTCCCGAGTGCATTTTTTCGGAAGCCTGAAAACCATGTGCGTAGACGTCCCTTGTCCGCTCCTGACTGAGTGGCTACCAGAAGCTGTTGGTGACGAGTTCGCGCGATACGGAAGCGGTAACCACATCTTCAAAAGCTAGCCTGCCTGCATGCACGCAGCGGTTTGAAGACGATGCGACGAGCGTGCGCGGCGCTGGGGCTGCAACCACACTGGGAAGACAATCCTCATGCATCCGCGTCGCTGGTTGGCAAGATTCGCCTCTAGATCCTGAGCTGCGAAGGGAAATATCACACAACATGCCCAGCCCATCCTACCAATACGTCCGGCGATATGTGAAAGAGGTGGAGGCTGGATGTGGCGCTGCCCATAGACTACCGCCTCGAGCCATTCGAGGGAATCCCATCATCCCTCTGGGCGTATGTGGGTGAATGATCTCGTCCTTCCAGTCCCCTTTCTCCCCCTTCGGATTGGGTTTTACCACTGTTACCTGTGAACAAACACCCCCTCACCCACTCGGCAGGGCGCAAGCCAAGAAGAATGCATGCCTCCAATCACCCTTGACAAAGGAGCACGTGTCGGCAGAGCTTGGATCGTGAGCGGGACCCCCCGTGGCAATTTAAACAGGTTCTGACACGAACGGCTGGCGTGCGAGAAGAGATGTCCGCTTCGAGCTGCCACGACCGCAGTAACAAAAAACAGGACGAACTCACTGAGGGTGCACACGCCATGCACCATGCCAGCCACCCCGCCCCCACCTTTGCAGTGGCTTTGGCACAGGTGGTCAGGGGGTCGACAGGATTAGGCACGTCCTCCTACAAGTGGATTTTGGGCGAATCTGAAACATTGCCAGACGTGCGAAGAAAGAGCCAAAAGAGGAGACGGTCCCCAGACTATGTTCCGACGATGCTCGAAGATTCTTCCAGCAGAAGCACGTGCCCGACGTAACGACAGGAGCAGGAAGGGCACTGGGCGCCTCTGGCCCGCCAGGCGGGCCATGGGCCCGCTTGGCGCCCCTCGGGGCGCCGGGCGCACCTGCTGCGCGATCGCCGCACCCGGCACGCCGGGCGCGCCTCGCGCGCGGCGCACACCCGGCGCCGGCAGCGGCCCACGATCGATTCGGCCACACGCAACTTGCGTGTGGCCGAATCGATCGTGGCAAGAGTGACCCTGGGCAAGAGTGGCCTCTGGGGCGCGGCGTTGTGCGGGCCGCGGGGAGACCAAGCCTGGGCGCGCAGGCCGCTGCTCCTGCCTCGTTTGCAGCCGTCTGGGGACACCCACCTGTGCCCGCACCAGAGGTCACTCCGGCGAAAGGTCACTCTTGCGTCTAGTCGATCGATGTCCATCCGCTGGCGACCTCTGCCCGGCCGGCCAGCCACAACTGGGGGAACTGTGGTCCTTAGCCCCTCTGGGGGAACCCATCGCATCAATGATCTCTCGAGAGCGGTGTCGAGATCGATGGGTCCCCCAGGGGGGTACGGACCACAGCTCCCCCAGTTGTGGCTGGCCTGCTTCGGCTGAGGCTCGGGTGCTACTTCCGGCGGCGCGCCAGCATGGCGAGCGGCCGCCAAATCCATGGATCGGGGGAGGTGCCCTCCCCCCCAAATGCGGCCGGTGCCGCCTCGTTCGGCGGCGGACATCTGCGGCTTCCCATGGAAACGGGATCCGTCGCTAATCCGCGCCCCCTTGATCCATGTTTGCGATCGCCTGAACCTAGGCCGAGGCTCGGGCGCTGCTTATGTGGTGGGAGGGTGGGCGGGCTTGAGCGAGACAGCCCGTGGCGCTCCCGCTGGGACCCTCAACCCTCCCCCCTACCCTTAGGTCGGGCCTGTCCCCCTACAGGGGGATATTGGGCGAAAGAAAAAACATTCGAAAAATGCCCCCAAATGGTCCAAACAAGTCAAAAAATATCCCCATACGATTTTTTGACTATTTTTGAATATGCCCCCTGTAGAGGGACGGGCCCGACTTAACCCTACCCCATACCTCCCTTCCCTGAGTCTGGAAGGGGGGGCGCGCGGGTCGCTGGCGGGTCCGAGGCGGCCCAAGATGGCCCAACGATGGCCCACATAGCCCAAAGTGGCGCCAACGTGGGCCAGAAATTACCCTGAGAGGGACCCAACGTTGCCCAAATGCTGCCAATACGCTCCTGAAGCGAAATATCCGCGGAGGCATGTATGGTGTACTCCTGGGGCTGCTCAGGCTGAGTCCGAGCTTCGCTTTTAACGGCCGGCCCCCCTCTTTGTTCACGATTTACTCCTGCCCTTCTTGATCGAGGCAACCCGCCTGGACATTGTTTTGTACGTGCTGATTGGATTTTTAAGTTTAGTCGCAGCTGCGGCGAGCGCGCCAGCAGCATCGGTAGAGTCGCACGGGACGCGAGCGCCCTAATTGCCGGCGCGCGCGCCGAGCAAGCAAGTTAACCTACCGCCGGGGGGAGCTGTGCTGGGGCTGGGCTGCGCCGAGGGGGGGAAACTGCCAGCTGCGGAGGCGGATGGGGAAATGCAACGTGCGAGTACCGTGGGAGCGAGATCACCAGGCACGGGAATGAATCCTCTGGCGCCACAGGGCGCCAGAGGACGGGGAGGCAGACCGCCAGGGGAGACGCCAGGCTGAACAAGAAGGCTGAACCACTCCTGCAAGACACGGCGGCCCATACCCCAGGGGGCCAGCTGACGACCAGAGCCAGGGAAGTGCGAGCACTGCCAGGACTGGTCAAAACGCGCGAGACCTGAACGCCAGGGCACACTCGGTACCAGGCTGACGGGATACGCGAAGCATCAATCATATAATCGCTCTTCTTACTCGCCCTTCTTCTCCTCCTCCTCCTCCTCATCCTCATCCTCCTCCTATTCCTATTCCTCCTCCTCCTCCTCCTCCTCCTCCCCCTCCTCCTCCTCATCATCATCATCCTCCTGTCCTATCTCTTCACCCTTCTCCTCCACCTCCTCCGCCTGCTCCGCCTCCTCCTCCTCCTCCTCCTCCTCCTCCCTCCTATTCCTAGCTCCTCCTCCTACTCCTCCTCCCCTCCTCCTCCTCCTCATCATCATCATCCTGTCCCATCTTTTCACCCTTCTCCTCCACCTCCTCCGCCTGCTCCGCCTCCTCCTCCTCCCCCTCCGCCTCCTCCTCCTCCTGCCTTCCAAGTCCATCCCGACTGGCTTCCCCTCCTCGTCCTCCTCTTCCTCGCCCTCCTGCCCCTCCTCGAGAGCTCTCGGCACCCGCGCGGGCGGGGGCGCCATCTCCTGGCGGCAGGCGACCCCCGGCAGCGCAGGCCTCGCGTCGCCCGGCGCCAGCGCCCGCCTGCAGGCTGCGCCTGGCGCGCGACGTAGTCGTCGTCGTCGTCGTCGTCGTCGTCGTCGTCGTCGTCGTCGTCGTCGTCGTCGTCGTCGTCGTCGTCGTCGTCGTCGTCGTCGTCGCTGTGAGAGACATCACCGTCGACGTCGCCGTCCGCCGTCGACGTCGTCGTCATCGTCGTCGTCGTCGACAACGTCGTCGTCGTCGTGCCACAGCACGAGATTTCGCTCGTGAGCACTATCACAGAGCAAGAGTACGAGTCCTATGCCGGAGTGGAGCGGCCTCCTGCAGCCAGCTCGGAAGGCAGAGGCCCAAGGAGGAGAAGGCGCTCCCCCAGCCAAGAAGCAGGACACCGACACGTCGGCCTCAGACCAGAAGTTGCTACGCCAGCTCGAGAGCAGAGTACGGACACTGGAGTTCGAGAAACAGGCGACGAAGTTCTTCAACAACGATGCTCCCATCATCGGCAACATGGTGAACATCCAGAAGCACTACGACAGCAAGGTGAAGGAGATCGGAGGCGGCCACTCATTGGGCAGCCCGCATCTTCATCTTTTTGGGAGCGTTCTGAGCGATATCGAGAGCTTCTTCACCAAGGGCGTCTCCCAAGACCTCCAGGGCTACCAGTTCCTTGCGGAGCGCCTAAAAATGCACATCGAGGTCTCCAAGGACCCGATTTCGATCGAGGAGTGGTGCAAGGTATGTGGGTTCAGCAAAACCTACGACGGCAAGAAGACTCGCCTGACCCTCGACCTGCGCGGGCAGGTCGTCATCGGCAGCGATCTAGAGGCGACCCAGCAGTTATTCCAAAAGGCAAAGGAGGAGCACGAGCTGGGCGAAAGTCATACGCACCCCCTCAAGGTAGAGCTCCCCCTCCCGCAGAACTGCAAGCTCGTAACACTGCACCACGCTGTGGCGATCATCCTAAGGGGTATGGGCGCGGACGGCAAGCAGGGAAGGGCACCAAAGGGAAACCTAGTCAGAAAGATC